GCTGACTTGGCGGCCAGCCTGCGAGCACATGACGGCTGGCGCACTGCAGGGACGAAGAGCCGTCCAGGCAACCTGGAGGCCGCTGGACGCAGCATGGCCCAGTGGTATGGGGAGGGCGGGGGGGACGGGCCTCTCTTTCTTCTGAGATGATGGGCATTCTGGCCCCTTCACTGCCCATGAGGTCATCGGCCCGAGCCTGCTCTTGCCACCACCAGCGCAGCCGTCGTGGCCTGCCAAGGCCCGAGCCACGTCAGCAACCAGGCTGTGAGTGGGCGGGGGCTGGTGCGCCGCCTGGCCAAAGACCCGTTAAGCCAGCCTGGAGACCGCCGCATGCAGCATGGCCCCGGGGCCTGGGGAGGGGGGAAAGTGGGCGGGCCTCACTTCGATCCGATGTTATGGGTGACCTGGCCCCTTCACCAGCCGCAGGATGAGCCCGGGCCTGCTGCCACTGTGTCTGTACTTGCCTGCCGAGGCACGCAGGCAGCCAGCCTGCATGTGGAAGGGTGTTGGCATGTTGTTGGGGTGCATGGCCGTCGAGGCAGCCCGGAGGCCCCCGACCGCAGCCACTCAGGAAGCCAGTCACCGCCCACCGACCCCGAGGTCTGCGGAGGTGGGAGAAAGCGCGGGACGGGACCCCCCTGTCTTTCTAGAGCTCGTTGTCTTCTCCCTACAATGGGCTTCCCTCCTAGTTATATATAATATTGGCTGTGCTGTGCACTCCATCAGCCATTGGCCCATCAACCACCACTCAAGAGTACTTCTGTGTCATTGGCTGGGGACTGGGGCCACTCCTCTTCCCTGCCCACTGCCGGCTTGGCCACTTTCCCCTGTCAGAATAAACTGATGAAGACGATTCTCCTGCTTGGCTCCTCCGCGGCTGGCTGGCGACTGAGGTGAGTCACCAGCTGTCAAACCATTCTCTTCTCTTCCTGCTGTGGGGCTCACTTTCCCCTCAGTGGCTGTTGCTAGGCAACCATCTTGATTGTGTCAGTATAAAGGCAGGGGCAGGAGGCCATTTCCAGGCCTACTTTGGCCTTCGTGGGGAACGTTTGGGGGCCAGTCCTAACTAGGGTTGCCAGCTCCAGGTTGGGAAATTCCTGGAGATTTTGTGGGGGAGTCTACAGAAGAGTTTGGGGAGGGGAGATGCCTCAGCTTAATAGAATGCCATAGAGTCCACACTCCAAAGCAGTTATTTTCTCCAGAGGAAGAGAGAAATCTGTTGTCTGGTGATACCAGGTGATCTTCAGGCTCTACCTGGAGGTTGGCTACCCTAGTCTTGGCATCACCCTCTGGGTGACTTGATGACACATGGCTGGCATGATTTAACTAAGCCTGGCTGCTTGATCCTGTTCACCACCAGGAGCCCCCTAGGACAGCCAGCGTGGTATAGCAGTTACTGCTTCAGAGCAGGGTCTGCCAGACCCAGGTTCTTGCTGCGGAAGCTGAGTGGGTGATTTTGGACCACTCACAGACTTTCAGCCTAGGGCTCACTTTCCCCTCAGTGGCTGTTGCTAGGCAACCATCTTGATTGTGTCAGTATAAAGGCAGGGCAGGAGGCCATTTCCAGGCCTACTTTGGCCTTCGTGGGGAACGTTTGGGGGCCAGTCCTAACTAGGGTTGCCAGCTCCAGGTTGGGAAATTCCTGGAGATTTTGTGGGGGAGTCTACAGAATAGTTTGGGGAGGGGAGATGCTTCAGCTTAATAGAATGCCATAGAGTCCACACTCCAAAGCAGTTATTTTCTCCAGAGGAAGAGAGAAATCTGTTGTCTGGTGATACCAGGTGATCTTCAGGCTCTACCTGGAGGTTGGCTACCCTAGTCTTGGCATCACCCTCTGGGTGACTTGATGACACATGGCTGGCATGATTTAACTAAGCCTGGCTGCTTGATCCTGTTCACCACCAGGAGCCCCCTAGGACAGCCAGCGTGGTATAGCAGTTACTGCTTCAGAGCAGGGTCTGCCAGACCCAGGTTCTTGCTGCGGAAGCTGAGTGGGTGATTTTGGACCACTCACAGACTTTCAGCCTAACCTCTTTCACAGGATTGTTGTTGTTTTTTTGCTCCCCGATGGGGAATTTTTTATTGCATTTTTATTAAAACTACAAACTATAACAGAAATAAGGAAGGGGACTACATTTAAGGGGATAAAGAAAAGATACCCACTACTGACTAAAAACCCAAGAGAGGAGATCTTCTAATCAGCTTAAATACACATCTAGTCTTGATCATATTAATCTCATTACAAACTGAGTCACATAGTCTGTTAACTTTTCCCACACATTAAATTTAACTGATATCAGGAAATACCCCAAAGCATCTCAATTCAAAATTTTTCAAAGGCACCATTCAGAGTCCTTCAGCCTTCACTTCTTCTTGTCCAGTCTTTTCTGCAACTTATAAGGACTTTTAGGAGCTGCTGCCCCTTTCTCAGACAGAGAGTCCTCTCTGGAAGAACCCGAGTCCAGCTCGCCACTGGACTTGCTGTCCCCTTCTTTTTCTTCCTCCTCTGGCCCTCCCAGCTGGACTCTTAAAAATTCTCTTGAGTGGTGATACACTGGGTCATTGATGTCATCTGCTCTTTAAGATTATTCATTTGGTCCAGCATGTGGCGCATGGAGTCTGCCAAAGTCTTTGCCGGCTCGTTTTTGGGCTCTCAGTTACTTTCGCTTTCAGATGTTTCTCTTTCTCCGTCCTCTTCCCCGCCATCTTTTTCGCTTTGTTTACTTTCTCAAACTCTTTGAAAGTCTCTGAATGTGTGCTTAAACGCTCGCACTTGCCTTGGTAAGTACTCCTTAGCAGTTTTAACCTATACTTCTGCCCCCCCCCTCAATCGCTCTAAAGTCTATGCGTTTAGGAGGCGTCCCTCCCCCGCTCGCCTTATCTTCTGTTCCGTGGGGTGGGGGTGGGGAGCTTCTTTTCTTTTTAATCAATGCTTAACGACTCACGTTCATAATCGGTCCACAGACCTCGTTTACACTCCATTTCACGCTCGATCTCCTGCGCTTGCCCTGGTCAGCGTCACTTAGTCCATTCGGTCTCTCAGCATGAAGAACCATCAGAGTGGAGAGGTGCCTCAATTCTCCGGCATTACGCCATCGAAGAGGCAACCTCTCCAAAGCTCCATAGCCAGGGTCCCTTCAGCCGGGTCCCTGGGGGAGTAGTGAGCCTGCACACCCCCTCCTTCAGCTGGAGCGCAGCCTCACCCCCGGGAGGTCCGGGAGGTGAGTCTGCTAGCGTGCCGCCATCAACCGGAAGTCCTCTTTCACAGGATTGTTGTGCAGATTGAAAGGGGGAAGGGAGAATGATGTGAAGTGCTTTGGTCCCCACTGCGGAGAAAGACTGTACTCTTCCTAGGTAGAGGGTGCAGGGAGGGGGAGGAGGTGGAAAACTGAAGTCAGAGGGGCAGATAAACGTAGGTTGACAGTTGACTGGAAAGGAGATTGGGTTGCCAACTGCAGGTTGGGAAATTCTTGAAGATTTGAGGGGCAGAGCCTGGAGAGGGTGGATTTGAGGAGGGGTGGGACCTCAGACAGGTACAGTGACATATACTCCATACTCCAAACCAGCAAGTTCCTTCTGGGGAACCATTGTTGCCAATCTCCAGGTGAGGGCTGGAGATAATTCAGAAGTAAAATTGCTCTCCAGATAGCAAAGATCAGTTCCCCTGGAGAAAATGGCTGCTTTGCAGGGTGGACTCTGTGTCATTATACCCTGCTGTGGTTGCTTCCCTCCTGCTTGGGTCTCCACTGCAGAGAAAGACTGTACTTTTCCAAGGCAGAGGCTGCAGGGAGGGGGGGGGGAGAGATGGAAAACTGAAGTCAGAGGGGCAGGTAAAGGTAGCTTGACAGTTGGCTGGGAAAGAGATAGGGTTGCCAACTGCGAGTTGGGAAATTCCTGGAGATTTGTGGAGTCGAGACTGGAGAGGGTGGGGTTTGAGGAGGGGTGGAACCTCAGACAGGTACAATGCCATAGACTCCACCCTCCAAACCAGCCATTTCCTCCTGGGGAACCGTTGTTGCCAGTCTCCAGGTAAGGGCTAGAGTTCACTCAGAATTACAACTGCTCTTCAAATAGCAGAGATCAGTTCCCCTGGAGAAAACAGTGGACTCTATGTCATTATACCCTGCTGAGGTCGCCACAGCAAATTGATGCTGAGTGCCCAAGGTCGGGGCACCCACCCAGAGCCTCTTTCTAGAGCTTGTTGTATTTATTTCCGTAACGGGCCTTATTCCTAGTTATATTATAATGGTGGTGGTGGTGAGAACATGCCAGATCTCCTGGATGATATCACATACAAAATCTGTAACAAAATCCTTTGAGATCTTATCCCCACCCCCCTTGTGCAAGTAAAGTACAAAAAATGTTTGTAGTTATCGAACTCTATTCTGGGCAGCCACCTTCAGTTCATGCAGGTTGGCATTATGGCCCAATAAGCCTGGCCAGCATTCTGAATGAACTGACTGTGTATCCTAAGAATGTGTTCCATGATTTTCTGGGACTCTGCGCTAGACAAACTGTGGAAACAGTTTTCTGAAGGAAGAAAGTTTGAGAACCACTGAGTTTTTATATCATTTTGAAGCTGTGCAGAAACATTACATGGAGTCTGGCAAACGATTTTTCAGTAAAGAGTTACAGTTGTGATATAATGTTTTTGTGTTGTGTAAGCAATTGTAGTGCCACTTCAAAAACAAACAAACCCATGCATACAAAATGTTACAATAGAATTGTCCTTAGCTAATTTATTCAATCCATGTGCTACAAAGAGAAGTTGTTACCATGGGCGTATGTACTCAAGATTCAATTTTTACATTTTTTTTTTAAAGGGGAAATCCCTTCCTTCTGAAGAAGATCAGTCATCTTAACCCAAATCTGATTTTAAAAAGGAAGGCTAGATGTTTACTGGCTTCTGAGAGAAGTTGCCAGCCTAATGCAAAATATCTGGGTACTGGATTTTAACAACATTAGAACAGACTGGTTTATAATATTGTTTTCTCTTGCAGATATTGCAGTAGTGGAGATGAGCGATGCCTTCCGCCAGCCCTCTCTTTTTTATCATCTGGGAGTCAGAGAGAGCTTCAGCATGGCAAACAACATTATTCTCTACTGTGACACAAACACAGATTCTCTGCAGTCACTGAAGGTAATTGATCTCCCTGTAGAACAAAAAAGAATGGAACCTGAGAGTCATTCACCGTAATTTCCCATTGCACAGCAAGACCTTCTGTACTCACACACTTCTTAGTATTGTTTATCATTATATTTTATCAGTAGTTAGCAAATGACTCAAGATGCCCCTTGTATGGGGTGCAAGATCTCACACAGAAACATGTTATGGTATTGGATCCTTCAGCTCCTCCCCCTCCTCAGAAATATTCAGCCCTTGTTTGATCCAGAAGAAAGTATCTTTTATTCCCAGTGTAGATTTCGACCATCATTCTGGCCATAGAAGCATCCATAAGTGAAAGTGTGACTGTCAATTCATAAGCAAATCTTCCTAGTTCTGTATATGAATACATAACATTTTTCTTATTTCTTACCCCATCAGTATGAGAGCAGATCGTGCAAGTGTTTGGAAGCCTAGGTTTGGGGGAAAGGAATTAAAGAAACTTGTCTCTGTTCTAGAAGGCCTCACAACATAAATAATTTGGGAAGTAAAAGATGTGTTAAACAAAGTAAAAATTAAACATGTCAGGAGTCAGTAACCTTTTATAATAAACAACAATGCTGTGTCAAAATTCAAAGCAAAAGATGAACAAGAGTCTGCATAAGAAAACCTATTTGTTGTTGTTGCCTTCAATCTTTCCCAGCATCAGGGTCTTCTCCAGTGAGTGCTCCCTTCTCATTTGGTGGCCAAAGTATTGGAGCTTCAGTTTCATTATCTGGCCTTCCAGGGAACAGTCAGGGTTGATTTCTTTTAGGATTGACTGATTTGATCTTCTTGCAGTCCAAGGGACTCTCAAGAGTCTTCTCCAGCACCATAGTTCAAAAGAATCTATTCTTCGGCGCTCGGCCTTCCTTATAGTCCAACTCTCGCAGCCATACATGACTACTGGGAATACCATTGCTTGGACCATGCGTATTTTTGTTGGCAGGGTGATGTCTCTACTTTTTATCATGCTGTTTAGGTTCGCCATCACTTTCCTCCCAAGGAGCAGGCGTCTTTTAATTTCATGGCTGCAGTCACAGTCTGCGGTGATTTGATGACTAGGGAGCCATGTACCTGATGTTATCTGCAGGTCGTCTTGAAGAAACAGGCTCTGAAGAACTGCTCTTCCAAAAGCAGCATCAGTTTTAGCACAGTGCATCACCACCAGGAACTTCTCAAAGGCTGAAGTCAGTGAACCAATAGCAGACCTGCAGAGATATGTCACCAAGTATCTGGAGAAAGTGGCAGAATCAGGAGCCATAATGACCCTTTCACAGTACTAGCTTGCTTGATACGTTCGCATCAAACTTTAAAGCCAGGCATCTTTCCCGGCATTTGAAAGACATGTTTGCACTCACTGGAGAAAACCCTGATGCTGGGAAAGATTGAAGGTCAAAGAAGACGGGGACGGCAAAGGATGAGATGGTT